GGGGGTCTAGAAAAGGTGACCCAAACAAATGCCTGCCTCTCAAAGTCTGGTCAGTTTACCGCGGCTGACAGACTCATCCATTTTGCGGTCGAAAACAACCAAAAAGAAAAAGAAAGATAATCCTTTGATCCTGGAATGTCAGAACTCTCCTCGATAGAGCAAAGACCAGCAGACCTGAATGAAGAACCGCCCTTGTGGCGAGTGAACTCCTACGCTACAACATTGACATCACTCCACTTAGTGAGACGCGTCTTCCAGATAAGGAAGAAGGAGATAGGCTACACCTATTTTTGGAAAGGAAAACCACAGACAGAGGAACGAATTAATGGTGTTGGCTTTTCGATCAGATCAGTTCTCCTGAAGAGCCTTCCTGCTCTACCAGTCGGAATCAACGAGCGCTTAATGAAACTGCGCACCCCCCTCAGCAAGACTAGACACGCCCCAATCATCAGCGTTTATACCCCCACACTCACTAGACCGGATGGCGCAAACGAACAATTTTACCAACAGCTAACCAAGATCATTCAGTCCACTCCAAAGAACAACAAGATTGCCCTGATAGTGTGCTAGGACTAGGTGACTTCAATGCCCGCGCAGGAAAAGATAGCAGCTGGGAGAATGTTCAAGGGCCTCATGGAGTGGGCATGAGAGTCAACGTAAATGGTCTCCTCCTCCTCCTCAGCATGTGCGCTGAACTTGGTCTGTGCATCACAAACACCCTTTTCAGAATGGCTGAAAAGTTCAAGACCGCTTGGATGCACCCCAGGTCGAATCATTGGCACATAATCGATTACGTCATTTACGCCAGAGAGACAGAAAGGATGTCCACCTGACCAGAGCCGTGAGATGGGCCAACTGCTGGACAGACCATCGATTAGTGAGAACTGTCATGGACATGCACACCCAGCTACGTCACCGAAAAAGGCCAAAGAACCCTAGAGTCTCCTACAACACAACAAAGTTTGAAAGCGAATTCTACAGAAATAAGTTCGAAAAAGCTCTCGAAAAGAAAGCCAGCGAAGATCCCATTCCTATTGGTGACTTATCTGAAAAATGAACTTCCTTCAAAACAGCTGCCACTGAAACCGTCACTGGTATACTTGGTCCGAAAGTTAAAACACACCAAGATTGGTTCGATGAAAATAATGAGCTATTTCAAGCTGCTATCCAAGCCAATAACAAAACCTATGCAGAGTGGCAAAACGACCCCTCATCCCTCCCCAAAAAGGAAAGATTCAAGTCCTTTCATTACTTTCAAGCTAGAGCCCAGAAAGATCTACGTGAGATGAAATATTCATTGTGGAACAATAAGGCGAACAAGTTCAACTCTATGCTGATACCCACAACTCCAAGATGTTGTTCAGCTCTCTGAAAACCGTCTGCGGCCCACCAAGCTCAGGATGTTCTCCCTTGTTGTCCTCGGATGGCAAAACTCTTATCAAGAACCAAGAAGGGCTCCTCGAGCGCTGGACCGAGCATTTCAGCTCCCTTTTGAACAGACCTCCCACTGCTGACGAATGCTCTCAATCAAATCCCCCCAGCAACCACTCCTGGAAGACCTAGACGCTTATCCTACTCTAGATGATTTTTTTTTTTTTAAGGCAATTTGAATAAGCAAGACCAACTCCAGCAGCACCGTTGTATCTGGTTCTTGACTTGATCTGCACGGGACAGAGTCATGTCATTGGTACAGTATCAGTTATTTCTTCAGACTATCTTTATTGTATTTTAAACACTTTAACATTATGTAGATGCGTAAATGTTTACGGGCTCAGCGTTTAATTAGCGCGTGTGTATACATATAATGTGTGTGTGTGTGTGTGTGTGTGTGTGTGTGTGCGTGTGTGTGTGTGTGTGTGTGTATGTTTGGTGTGTGTTTTAGTTTTAATTTTAGTAGAGGTTTTACGGCACTCGCAACTGCATAAGGTCATATGAGCGCCAGAAGATTAGAGGTGTTACAAGAGAGTAACAAACATAAAAAAGAAGAAGGGGAGATAAGGACGATA